GGCTTTGAGCAACATGGTCTAGTGGAAGGTGTCCCTGCCCATGGCAGGGGATTGTAACTAGATGGTATTTAAGGTCCCTTCCAACTCAAATCATTCTGTGATTTTTACGAAATACATTATACAAGGTAATTTGCAGGAGAATTCATTTTCATCTTGTAGCACACAGAAAACCTTGGAGGACATGGTTATTAGAAACTAGTTGGATTTGTTTTGTCCATTACCTGTTTTAACTTTAATTTCACATCTTCAAGACCACCAATTTGATCCCAAGTGACAGGTTTACACTCTGTTAGTCCAACTGCACTTCGAAAAGAGGATGGCTGAGTGTTTTTAAAAGCTTCTTGGAAGTCTGCCATGTTAATCATTTTTTCAGCTGAATCCTGAAAAAACACAGATAAAGCATATTAGCAATATTTTTACATAGTATCTTACAATGCTGCATTAGTCACAAAATGCTCTAAAAAAGCCAAATGCAACTAATAAAACAACAAATTCCCACCCTAACAAGCTTAAGCACTGCAGACATAAAGCTGTAACACAAAGCAGTCTCTTTAGTGGCAAGTTTTTACACAGGAAAAACACAATTTTAACAAGAATTAATGCTTTAGAAAAAACTGTTTGCTAAGTTACAGCTCCATTAGACAGTGATCTGCTAAATCAAGTGGTTGCTAGTCGCAGGGTTACTACATACCAAATCCTAGCCTCTCTTGAATACAAACAAAAATGTTCCAACATCCATTTTTATCACAGAAAGTAAGGCATTATCTCAAACAGCTTATAAAATACTATTATGAAGCAACAGACGCAGTAACAGAACTAAGCAGCATTTTACAAAAGTGCTTACAGTTCTCAAGGCAAATAGGCCATCTACTTATTAATTATTTTCATTTGTCCATCTACTACTTTTTGGGATACCAGACTCAAATTATTTAATTATTTTCAGTATTTGTAAGGTATCTAGAGGAGATGGAAGTTTTAGAAATATGATGCTTTCTTTTTTCCTATCCCTGTGTGAAGACAGGGATAGGAAAATTCTCTGTAGATGCTCTGACTCTAGTAATTTTGCAAACATTGCTTTAAATTTCCACCAAGCCATTCCAGGTTAAAACCCATGTATCTGTGGTATATCTCAGTTCCTGTAAAAGTCAGATTAGATAGAAAGGGTATTGAGAAATTTACATAGATATGGAATTGGAGAATTGCTAAGAAATTAAATTTCTGTACACTGGACAGCTGTATACCTTGTGTCTACAGCAATGTTATACCCAGCTCTACAACACAAATGAGAATAGATACTATCACTAGCAGTTATATTTATGTGTCAACCAAACTGTAATTTGCAGTTATTATTAAGCAGAACTCTAAATCACCGACAGCTTCAAAAGAGAGCGTTGGTGGACATTATAGTTTAGTCTGCCAAAGACTAAAATCTCTGCACAATCCTAAAAAGAATAAAAAATTTCAGCAAAGCTTTTCAACCAGGAAGGGGCAAACAGTATTTTCAGGTGAGAGCTGAAAGGACCAGCGTATTTACATTTATAACACAGCTAGTATTTTGAGTTCTTCGACTTGCTGAGCTTTTCAAGTAAGGCTGAGTATTAACGGGGAAAGGCTAGTAAAGATTGTAATGACATTCTTCTCAACTAATTTTCAACCATACCAAAGAGCTGTGGAACACAGCCTGCATAGCAGCTTCTCTGCAGAGTGCTGTAAGGTCAGCTCCAACATACCCAGTTGTCATTTCTGCCAGTTTAACCAAATCAACATCTGTAGAAATTGGCATACCAGATGTAAGCAACTGCAGGATGGATCTTCTTTGTGTAAGTGTTGGGGTCCCAATAACAACCTAAATCAAATATAGTAAACAAAAGGTTTAAGTAGGTATTTTACTGTATTCCTCTTATTTTACAGACCTAGGCAAGAAGCTTGGTCTCTGCTTTACACTGCTTACTCAAGATTTATATGTACTTACATTGCAACTAAAGAGTTTTCTAGGAAACATTACCAGCACTATGCAAATAAAAAATACTTTAAATACTCTTCATTTACACTTACTTTCCAGGTGAACAGTGTTTGCATAAGCAGTTGTTCATAAGACACTGTCAGTGTCTATCAAGTCCTAATTTAAGGCAATTTCATCATAAGACATAACACTGAAATAATTTTCCTTGCAACACAAGAACTGAATTAGATTAATCCAACAAAAAAAAAAAAAAACATTAGATAAACATTCATACATTAAAACTCTGGCAAAATACCACCATAAAATAAGTCTCAAGAACTCAAGAATGAAAATTATACTTGTGAAAGCTTTAAAGAACTTGACTAAACTTGATGACCCAGGAGTGCATTCAGCAAGCAAAACAAACAACACAAGCAAAAGCATTGTGCATTGTGTAACTGTGTTCTTTCGTCTCTGGACCACTAGGCTAGTTTTCCAGAGTAGACCTAACCTCTGTTACTTAAATCTGAATAGACTTTTTGACACAACAGGTTACTAGTTCTCTGTAATGATAAACTTTTAAGGAGAGATGCATAAATCTTCAATCTGGGATTTAAATGAGAAAAACCTAAGTCTGTAATGCTAAGCATCCGTAAGCAAAAGTAAACTCTCAAGAAGAGGTCCATGTCTTTGTGATAAAGAAGCATAAAGACTCTCCATGTCCATTTTCAAGTATTTGGAACTCTCAGTTTCACTAAAATGTGCTCCCTGCCTTACTCAAGCTGCAGCAAACTAAACAAACAGGGCATATCAAGCCTGTAGAACCCCACTATGAAACCTGACCAGTAGACATTAAAAAAACCTTAAAAATTATTTTATTAACTTTCCCCGCACAACCTCAAAAAGGAAAGAAGAAAAGGTGTATATGAATCACAGGGCTTGCTTACCTCTCTGTCAAATCTCCCAGGTCTTCTCAGTGCAGGGTCTAAGGCATCAGGCCTGTTTGTTGCTGCTGTAACGACCATTTTACCCTCACTACCAACACCATCCAGCAGCGTTAGTAACTGAGCAACAATACGATCTTCAGGAGCATTGTTTGAACTTCCTCGCTTTGGGCATAAAGAATCAATTTCATCAATGAAGAGAACAGTTGGACCTTCATGTGCCATTTCTCTGGCCTTTTCAAAGACTCTTCGTAAATTCTCTTCACTTTCTCCTGGTCTTGAACCATAGAGGGCTGGGCCACTGATGCACAACAGATACACACCCAGTTCTTTGGCTACTGCCTTTACCATAAGGGTAGCCCTATTAATAGCACTCCATTAGGAACAGAAAGGCCTAGCTTCTTAAAAGTCTTTGGAAAGCGGAAAGGCAGATCGATAATTTCTTTCAAAGACTTTCCCACATCATCTAGCCCTGCAATTGAAGTTTTTGCAGTGTCTTCTGATAAATGTCTGTACCATTCGTAAATGATCACCTCCTTAATCTTTATGCTTGTTTGGTGGGTTATCAATCCAGCTTCATCCACCAAATGGTCTACAGACAGTATTTCAATATACATAACAGGATTTTCGAGATTGGGGGCAACAGTAACAACATAATGAAGTGAAACATAAGTATTTCTTAGCAGTTCTCTGATTGTCTCCTGCAACACTGCTCTGGGAGTGGACTTTTTCAGCGCAGCACTCTTCAGGACCACTCTCACAGTCGCCTTTGTTAGCCGGCGGTACGCCAGAAGCTGCAGCTGGCTGACACTCAGCGTGAGGCCCGTCACGTCCCTTGCTGTTACACCGGCGGTGCTGCAGGTCAGATCAACCTGCACGTACCCGTCCGCCAAGTCGTGCCTGGGCCACGCCGTGCACAAGCAGCAGCCCGCAGGCAGGGAGATTCTCAGCGGGGCGCCGATCCTGGCTCCCAGGAAGGACAGGGTGGCGGGTCCTACCCTACACCTCTGTGTGCCTTCGTCTCCCGGGTCCAGGAGGAGCAGCT